GGGAGTCCAAAGGCAAGAAACATTAAAAAAAAAAAAAAAAAGCCACCGGGTACAGCCCGCCCTTCTTCCTCCCCCGCCCCCCGACGGTCCCGCCTCTGGCCCGGTATTTCCCGTCCCACCTCTCCCTGGGGAGCGCGGCTCCGGCCCCGCGAAGCCCCTCCTTCCCTGCTCCGCCATCTTCCAACATACCCTTGGGTCAGGGACGCCCTCGAGGAGCCGCGCCCGCTCGTCAGATGCCTCCAAAGTCCCGCCTCTGCTCAGAGCCGGAAGGGGAATTCAAAAAAAAAAAAAAAAAAAAGTCATTGCCCCCCCGCCCGCGGGAAGCTGCACCACCGGCTGCGCATGCGCACTGGCCACTTCGCAATCCCCGCCCCCAATTCCAAGGTTTCCTGTCTTAACCTCCAGCCCTTTTTTTCCTATGGCTTTTACCCGGATTCTGGAGTTGAGGAGTAGGGGAATAGTGGTAAACGGATTTTAAAAAGAAGGAGAAGGGATGGAACATGTTGAGTTGTTATTAGACTCCAGGTACTCTGCTACGGAAATAACACGTTCTTTGTTATTTGACAATTCTGAAAGGCAGGGCACTTTTATTAACTACTTTATTTGGGCATGGTGGTGGTGCAGGCCTTTAATGCAGCTCTCCTGAGTCCTAGGCAGGCAGATCTCTATGAGATCAAGACCAGCCTGGTCTACATACCGATTTCCAGGCCAGCTGGGGTACTGGGAGACCCTGTCTCAAAAACAAAGAAACAAAAAAACACTTTACAGAGGAAACTGAAGCCCAGAAAAGAACTGTTCAGTATCACCTCACTGATAAAGAGAACTGAGTAGAGTTGGGTCTTATTTCCAAGGAGGGAAAGAGGAAGACACAAAGGCAGTGGAGGATGTTGGACTAGTGAGGAAAAAACTAAAAGGCCGAAGGCAAGACAGAAAGCCTTCTTACACAAAACGACGGTCATACCCCCAGTTTATTTCCAATAGGCTTGGAAGGTTGTCAAGTGAACATGTGAATTTTGGTTTCAGGAATTTGGGCTCCTTCCTGGCTAGTGTAGTAAGGTGGATTCTGAATATGATTTCAGAGAAGATGGTGAGTGTGGTACTTATGGAAAAGTGTGGCTGCTTGGTTAAATAATGCTGCCCTTTTGAAAGCAGAACTTGAAAAAGAGAAAAAATATTTTTGGTCCTTGGACTTTTGGTAATGTAATATCCCTTCTAATGTGATCCTTTGAACATTTTTTTATTCATTGATTTAGTGTGTGTGTGACATCACAATTTGGGGATAGTTCTCTCATTCCACCATGCAGGGTCAAGGGATGAACTCAGGTTATCAAGGCAAGGCCCATTACCCACTGAACAACCTCCCCAGACCCCTGATGTGTTCTTACTGACACAGCTCTGGCAATCAGCTCATTAACAGCAATAATAGTAATTGCAAGTAAGGGTTGGGGATGAAACTCAGTGGTAGAGCATTTGTTAATCATGTTCAGGGCTGGGGATTCAAACTCCAGCAATGCTAGAAAAGTAAACCAAACAAGAAAAACTACACGTGAATATTTAGCTCACTTTTTAAAGCAGTCTTAAATATATAACTCAGTTACCACCCCATTTTTCTTTATTTTATTATTTTTATTTTTTATGTGTATTCATGTATTGCCTGCATGTAGGTAAGTGCACCTGTGTTGTGCAGTGCCCACAGAGGACAGAAGAGGCTGTTGGATCCCCCTGGAACTGGAGTTATGGACAGTTGTTAGCTGCCATGTTGGTGCTGGCAACTGAACCTGGGTCTTCTGCAAGAGCAGCCAGTGTTCTTAACCACTGAGCCATTTTTCCATCCCTTCTGCTATACTTTTAAAAAGTTAACTTATAGGGGCTGGAGAGATGGCTCAGTGGTTAAGAGCACTGACTGCTCTTGCAAAGGACCCAGGTTCAGTTCCCAGCACCCATATGGTGGC